AAAGCATAGCTGGCTGATGAGACAGAGAGATGATGCATCTTTTACTCTGATTTTAGTCCTCCTCTGAAGATCAATAATAAGATTTTGAATTTTAGTGTCACACTCCGTCTGAGTGTGCAGTCTCCGATTGCAAATGTTCATTAGATTTTAGCATCTCTGTGAACCTCATCAATATTAATACCCCCATCTTTAAGACAGCAAAACTGAAGCAAAGAGTGGTTATTCATCTTCCCCAGTGTCTACGTTAGAGACACCAGGCACTAAGGCATAGAAAATGTAAGCAGCAATGTGAAAAATACCATTTTGTTTTCTAAGGATATATTTTACATCTCTTTTAACTGTCACCACCCTGCTCTTTTAACTCAACTCAGACAGGAGAAGGCAGTAAAAAGGAGTTTTCTTAAAACATTTCTAAAGTGCCAGTCTGCCTCATCACTTCTCAGCTGTCTTTCTCCCTCCGGTGGGAGAGGAGGAGCCTGGAAGCACACCTGTGAACTCAGGGCTTGTGAAGTGTCTTTCATGACGACAGTCACAAAAGTCATACTGCTTTATGTGGAAGGAATTTCTTTGGGCCTGGAGCAATCCCAAGACCCGGGTCTGGAGAAGTCAGTGGGAGCGGTCCTTAGCTCTAAGGGTCCTGATCCGTCCCTCCTTCCCCAGTGTGTGCTGCTGTAACCAGCTGTGGATGTTTTGACCTTGTGCAAAAGTATCTGGTGGCCAGTGGTTTAGATGGAGCTACAGTAGTTGGTAAAAAGACTTCATTTGGTATGAACTCTATTCAAGCTGTCAAATCAGCATGAACAGTTTCAATATTGAAAAAATTTTTGAAGGAAAAAAAATGAAGCCAGTCATTTTGTAAAGCACCTTTCCCAGGTTTTCTATTTCACTTATTCCCTCACATGCCTGGCTTTCAGGCAGGTTGAATTTTATTACGTATAGCTCTTTAAAAAAATAACTTTAATTTGTTTGTAGGTTGTCAGTACTGCTCATAAATACCCATCCGTCCACCCTGAGACCCGCCATTGGACAGCTCTGACATTTGCTGTGTTGCATGGACATATTCCTGTAGTTCAGGTATTATTGTATTTCCCTACCTGCATCTCATTCTTTTGTTTCTCCTCTTCAGTTCTAATTGCATCCATCTCAAACCAGTTTCCTCTTGTCATACTCATATTGGTTACTTCTGCTTCTTCTGGAGTGTACTGATATATAATAGACCTATTATATAGCGAATACGGTGTTCAAACCTTAACCAATATGAGGTTTAAATAGGACAATTTTAAAGCAAAGTTGCACCAAAGAAAGTCTGACAACTCCTTGTGCTCCTTCCTGACCACTTGTTTTATATGTTTGTTTATTCATTCATTACACTTTCTTACACTGTAATATTCTAGCAAACACAAAACCACTGCCTTGGTGGGGGAGAGGTGGACAACAGCCCTTGGGCTGCTCCAAAGGGCCAAAATCACTCACTCTCCTTACCCCATCGAGGCGTCGCGTGGGATGTGCTGGTTCTGTGCTTTGGCATCGCAAAAGTTGAGCAGGTTTATTCTTCAAAACAGGTGTGTCTATGGCACACTTAATGAAGCGCCAAAACTGTGAAGGCCTCAAGACAGAAATGGCCAAGACGGGGCTGGAGCACAGGTTCCATCCTGCTCTCCTTGGCCACTTTTGTTTTCAGCGTTGTTGTTATTTACGTGGAAGTGTCCCCGATGGAGATCACAGCTTTTGGACTCATTGCTGCAATTGGTTCTTAAGAATTGCCTTTCTTTTGGCCATGTCTTTATATAAAAGATGGAGGCAATTGAAATCTGATCCATTTTAGGATGGTACTGGGCTTCTAGAAGACCATGAAGGAAGGATGCTTGTCGGGCTAATTTTCAGTACTTCCATCTTCAGTGCATTACTTCGTAACGCTGACCTTATCCCATTTCTCATTCAGAAACACTGGGTTACACTTTTTTGGCTCTGAGGTTGGACACTAGTGCTCCTGGTGTCTGGCAGGATAAAATGAGCAAAAAAAGATATCAAATTGCCTCTGTGAAACAATGGGCAGAATTTGCATGTCACTTGTCTCCATCGTATCTGGTGTGCAGATAACAAGAAGCATTAGACTCTCATTTGTCACTGTTCATGAACTCTGAAGACTGTGATACCCCCAGTTGCTCTAAATGGTGAATTTTCTTTCTAGCTGTTGCTGGATGCTGGAGCAAAGGTAGAAGGTTCCTTGGAGCATGGAGAGGAAAATTACTCTGAAACTCCTTTACAGTTGGCAGCAGCTGCTGGTAAGGACTTTCTCCTCCCACTGTAATAAATTCTTCAGTCGGGATCTGTGGTTTAGGTGAGCAAATACTGAATTTTAAAAGAAGTAAAAATGTATCTCTCGACTTGTAGGGAATTTTGAACTGGTCAGTTTGCTGTTGGAGCGAGGAGCTGACCCCATGATAGGAACAATGTACAGGAACGGCATTTCCATGACTCCACAAGGTGACATGAACTCTTTCAGTCAGGCTGCTGCACATGGACACAGGTAGAGTGGGAACAAGTCTAGTGGCATCCTTCAAGTGCTTATTTTTTGCCTGGGCATCCAATTTGAGCAGATGGGTGAAAGTTCTGCATGAACAATGGAACATGCCACCAACTGAGCAGAGATGTAAGCCTTTTGCTAGCATGTGAATTTAACCAGTTGGTGGTACAAGCTGCTTTTTGATATCTGATTTTAAAAAAAAAAAAGGAAGAGGACTCCTCATGGTGTGTTGCAATGCAATGGTTGTTAAATGGCAGCTGATGTGACGGCAGAAAGGAATGCCAAAGACATTCCTTCTGAATTTCTTGACATATTTCTCAGGTTTGAGCAAATTGTGTCTGTACGGCTGCAGCCTTAATTTTTGTTGAATAGAGTTTCTGCATCTGTGTTTACTGTACAGTCCTGTGTGTCTTAATGTGGTATGTATGCTGCAAGTTAAAAAAAAAGTAATGAAATGAGCACCTGGCATGCATGATCTTGCAACGCTGAGGAGTTGTCTGCAGTGTAATGGATTAGTATTATGATTTCACATTCCTACTTTTCTGATTGTAGCCATCCAGAGGAACATAGATACAGGTTAGAGACAGTACCTACCGTCTGTTTGCTTAGAGACGAGCTGCAGTCTAACAACATGCTAACGGCATGTCAGGGCGGGTTCGCGCAACGCTGCCCATCTGGAGCTTGCGAGGGATCCCTGGGACAGAGAGGACAGTTTAGTTATTGAAGTCTCACGTTCAGCCAACGTGAGTGGGAGCCACGTGCCCAAGAAGGACCTGGGGCTCTCCTCGGCTTGGCTGCTGGCTCTGCATGTTGCAGGCCCTGGCTCTTACATTCCTACCTGTACACTGCTCACGCACACTCCCTCCTCCTTCCCTCTCTGCTGTGAATTTTGTTTGGGACATGCCATGCCCCGCTGCCGCCCCACGCCAGGGTCTGAGCAGGTGCAGGGAGGATGTTGGGAGTATGAGGGAGGTGGGGTGGGGGCCAGCCTGGTTTCTCACAGCTACAAAACCAAGAGCAACTGTTGAGATTGGTGAAGTTACACTGCTACAAACCTGAGGGCACCAAGTCTCTGAATTTGGGCTTTGCTATTTGATGGCCCAGCCAGATCAGTGGCTTTGCAGAGTAGTCCAAGATGTGCTCGAACCTGCCCTGACTGTCCTTGTTGAATGTATAGCTGCTCCAGCTTTCCCAGACTGCTTTGAGTGTTAATCGAGTAGTGGTGCTTTCGGTAGCTCCAGGCAGCTCCCTTCTCAAGTGACCTCCATGGTGAAAGTCCTGAGAGCTTGTCCAGAGGCACCTCAGCCTTCCCTGATTGTGGGAAGAAGTCTTAAGTCACGTTTAGCTCATGGGGCTCTGTTCCAACGAGATGCCGCCGCTCGTGCGACATCTGTACAGTTCCTGTCACAACAGCAGCATCTTGCAGACATGGCCCAGGCAGTGCAGGTGGGCAAGCAGGAGTGGTGCGTGCCTCGGGACTGCTCTCAGCCAGTCCTGCCATTAATTGAAGTAATTTCCTGGATAGGTGTTCTAACTTGCCACATCGTGGCAAGTGTCCTGGTCACAAAGCAAGCCAAGCCACTGACTCTGCTCTCCCGC